CCCTAAGAATATGTGATCAATACGAGGTGGAATTCAAAATAGGGATATTCTTCCTTCAGACAAAAAAAATGAAAAAATCATTTACCACAACAGAAGACGTGAGGTGAGGTAACGCCAAACAGAAAGAAAAGACCCAATATAACTGTTTCAAAATCTAACTATAACTTCAACCTCAATCTCATCACCCCTCTGTTTTGAATTCCTAAAGCGCTATGTAACGGAGGTGTTTCAGAAAATAGCGTAAAACTCAAATTAAAATAAAAAAAAAAAAAAGAGACGGGAAATTAGGTTAGCAAATTGTCTAAGAAACAAACCAGTGATCCCAAGATTGACCCGCCAATCCAAGCACCAAACCGCCTCTCCATAGGTGTGGGCGCGGCAGACACACGAAGTTTAATGGTCTAAAAACGAAAAGAGATATCATCCAGATTTCATCGTCTAAAAAATTCACAGCCTCCAATTTGCGGGAGAATCTGCGCGTAGAGGACTATGTCAGACTTTGCGAATAAAGCGATTCGCTAGCGAATCGCTGGATACGAGCGTTGCACCAGCGAATCGAGCTGTGTACCAGCGGATCGAACTGTGCCAGCGGATCGAACGATGTACCAGCGACTCGATACTGTTTGAAAGTGGCGGGACTTCCTTTGAAAGTTGCCTTGCTCTATTGCCTGTGTTTGATAGTGTTCTTCCCGAGCTCTACCCTCTCACTCTATCAAGCCCTCATGGGCACGGGAAAGTGGCTCTTGCCTCTTGAGGGTAGAGCTCGGTAAGGTGGCGAGAGTCAACATGCAAATGAGAGGGAGTCCCGCTACTTTCAAACAGTGTGTCGCTGGTACATCGTTCGATCCGCTGGTACACAGCTCGGTTCACTGGTGCAACGCTCGCATCCAGCGATTCGCTGGATTCGCAAAGTCTGACATCGGCCTATGTCAGAGTAGAAATGAAACCTACCTAAGGAACACTAGATAAGAGGAAATGAGTGCAAGTATGAGTACTACCATGAAACCCATTCAACTAGCTGATACTGTTTGACCATTGAAAAAAAACCCAGATTAGATTAAAGAAAAAAAACTTACTGGAGGGCACTTGTGTGCCAGATCATGATTGAGCCGTTCGGTGAAGCCAAGAATGAGTGAATTTCCACCAGTAACCATGAGCCACTGTATAATGTCTGAAAGGAAATTACATTAAATTAACAATTCTGTAAGTAATTGGCTTGGCACGTCCGCAATACAAAGGTGATACCGGTCGTATGTCGATATCGCACATTCCTGCTGCAGTAGTAGCTATCTGCGTCACATTGAGTAAAGTTGACTGAGTTGCCGGCATATTACGAAGATACTTGAGATCAAAAAGGCTTTCCGGCACTTTTATGCGCTCAGCAAGAAACTCCTACAAAAACAGTTTTACGAGGTTCGCTCCCCGTTTAGTGAAGTAGCGATTCTATTGCAAAAATACGCTGTTATCGGCTTACCACATGCTACTCGCGCGCTATTTGAACGCGCGCATTTGCACAAGGAACTCAGTTCACAAAATTAATCGCGCGCAACATGCGTTGAAGAAACCTTATGAAATATGAATATGATCGCGAACCTGAGACACCCGCCACTGAGTCTTAAAGTTTTTTACATAGCAGATACAGTCACTCCTGGACGCGCCACAAAACGAGAAATACAGAAGTGAGATCATCCCTGTAATACTCGCGCGCACTTATAACCTTGTATCTTTAGCATACGTGATCAAAAAAGAAGCAACGAAATTATACACCCAACTGACAAGTTTTAAGCGCTCTCCGCCTTGATGCGAAAAAGACCCCAGAAAAATAAAAGAGCTACCTTAGTGAAACCATCCTCGGAAAGATACGGTGCAGACGGTAACTTCTCAGCGTATTCTGCATCAAGGGGTGTATCACACAATTGCAAAACGGAAACTGCCATATCCTCGAGGAGCTGGAAGTTTGTTCAGAAACATGTTTGTTTATTCCAACAAAGAAGGCATATGTACCTTACCTGTTTCTTCATGAACTTATCATAGCTCTCTGTAACCTCGGGTAGGTTTTTTCTTTTAGTCCAACGAGGTGGCTCGTTCTCATTAACTTCTTCCTTAATAGATAGTCCGCAAGTAAATTAGTATTTGAATTAATCGGAAAACCACAAAAAAACATCGGGGCAATATCTGGAAATCCGAAGCTTCCAATGGGCAAGAAAGAAACGAAACAATACTCCTACTCCAAGACGTGGACGACCGCAAACCGAGTTTGCCTACACATTCTACCTAGGTTTTAGAGATGCACAAAGTCCATTTCTAGCAGGCAAAACCTCAACTATATTTTCCTTCCTTTCGAAAACTATAGCAACAACTTTTGGATCCAAATCTAATAATACCAGTTTACTCCATGTTTTTTTTTAGCGGCGTTAAGATAGCCCAGAATCAAGTCTTACGGTTGACCTTAGTGTACACTCTATTATGAGTGCTCACCTTTCCACCAATTTTATAAATAGGCACTACTTCTATATTCTGTTCATCCAACATGTGCTGCAGCTGCTCGCATATCACATCACCACCGATTGGAGATCGCACGACGGCTGAAATTTCTTGCATCTAATAAGGAAGGAATGTGGAAATAGAAAGAATAGTATGCATGTGTTTTAGATATACCATGGGTTACAGCATAGCCATCGTAGACAGGAACTGCGGAAGTTTGTGTCGCACCGCTGTCAACCACGAGACCGCTGGTACGGCCATTTGCAAACCTGAACCTTGCCACACAATAAAATCGAAACATATAAACCACAAGCTATTCATAGACCATAGCAAGTGTTCAGGAAAGTATCACAAGGCTCTACTAAGACGATATCTGATAACAACACAGAGCTGAGGAGAATTTCATCAGTTAACGGTTTTTATCCTAATGCCCACACCGTATCGTCCCAAATGATATGGATCGCATCGCTAGCCGCCTCCTACCTCCTGCCCTTTTCTCCTCAAAATCTTGTGCGTAAAAAATCAAGAAGGCTTCTTTTCGACTCGTTCGTGTCTATGTTTACCTTCTTGTGAACGAAGAAAATCAGGGACCGTATTGAAGCCTTCCCCCAGGGAGATGCATTCCTCACCTCTGATTCAATCCTCGGGGTACAAAAAAGGGTTGCGTCATAGGACCGCCATAATTTCTATCTACAGACAGTTGAAGCAGGGCGACTACCCTCTACACCGAGCTCTTCTCCCCTGAGGGGTGCGTGCTCTATCTGGCAGATAGAAAAACAGAGGTGTGGCGGTTCTATGACGCAACCCTTTTTTGTCTGCCTGAGGACTGAATCATACCGAGGAGATGCGTCCCCTAGGAGGTTAAATACGCCGAGAAAGACGGAAGCCCACAACATCAGTCGGTCACATTCCATCGTCGACCTCCATTGTAGCAAGGTATTACATGCTTGAGACAGTCCCAAAATACGCAGATTTTAAGATCAAGTTAATACTCGTAAAAAAATAAGAAGTTACAGTTTAATCTCGAGAAACAAACTCACGCTGTTAGAACAGCATTTTTGCACAAAAAGAAAGCTGGAATATTGTATTTCTCGAACATCAGCTCCGTCAAACGCTCTCGTTTCGTTTTATCATTCCACTAAAATTATTTTCTGAATAGTAGTTGGAGAGTGGCCGAGAAAATGAGCGTTTGCATCGAACATAAGACTTCACTCACCGCACTCTCAGTGAATAAAGCAGGATGATACTGAGTTTCACTATGGAGAACTTCACTGTATGAGTAATCCAAAAGATTTTCGAACATTTCCCAGTCGTCAACTGTAAATAAAAAACACTTCGAAGCTGCCCGCTGAACTACAGAATACTACTTATTCAACAGAAACAAACACAAGGAATGTACAAGATACACTCACTCATCCCATCCTTCATGAAGCTCTGAATGGTAGTCCTCGGCCGAGGAACAACTATCTTCGTTGTTCCAATGAACATGTTTCGTTTCTTCTTTACATTACTTGATTCTTTTCCTTCTTTCATTTCCACATCTTCATCAGCTTCAACTTCTTGAACAGCCACGTAAGAAGGTATGTCGCCCTGAACTCATGCAATTTCATGTCACCAGATTGGTCCCCGGCAACCGCCGAGACATCTCTTCCCTGTCAGATTTGCGCCTTCCGCTAGTTCCCTTCTAGACACCAACGCCTCGTGGTGGTGACGCTGATGCACAAAAAGGTATTTTATATAGTAGACAAAATCATCCCAACCGTGACATGACGTTAGAATAGCACCTCAATGCTAACTTGTACTTGTACTCTACTGAATCTAATGAGGATTGGTTTTCCTATGCCTCCTCCCTCCAGTGCCCCCCGAGTGCAGCACATTGCGGAACGATAGAGAGTATGATCCGAAGGTGTTTATACAGCCTATCGTGAGTGTTATCACAATCACGTCACGGCAAAACATTGAAAGCTCAAGCCCTGCCAACTACCCGATTTTGTTAGCAATTTGCGCATTTCATGAGCTTCCTATCACCCCCTTTTGTGGGCGGGACAGACTTAAATATGCACATAATCGACATCCGATAGTTAGGGTAATCGTGTCACCGGAAGTGACGAGCAGCAGGTTGGGTAGAAGCT